GTGGTGGTGATTCTGGAAAGCAAAAGAGCCACTTTCGGTGCTTGATCTCTTAATTAAAAAAGTGCCTCTTCTTCTTGTCTCCTTGTTCTTGATCCTCCAGTTCTTCGTCCTTGCTTTCCTCCTTCTCGCGGTCCTCGTAAATCGCATACCCGCCAGATCCAGCCTCGGTTTTGTTCCTTGCTCCGGCTTCATACTGAAAGAACAAACATTGATCCAGAAAAAGAAGAAAAAATTCAATTTTTTTTTGTTCTTACCATGCCTCCCACACTGCCAAGGCTCGCCTTGGCATCGTCCAATCTCCCCTTCACGTCTTCCTGCATTTTCGAGCTTGTGTAGTCACTGTCATCCATCGACTCGTTGTCCTTTCGGACACCATATCCGGAGCTTCGATCGTAATCGCCATCCTCTTGTTTCTTACTCCGCCCACCATAGCCATCTCCTTGAGTGTAGTCTTCCTCCTCTGGTTTCTTCGTTCGGTCACCATAGCTGTAGTCGTCGCTCTTCGTTCCATAACCTCCAATGTCATCGCTCTTCTTTCCATAGCCTCCAAATTCATCGCTCTTTTTTTCCGAATCGGTGCTGAACTCGTCGGAGGTTTTCCCGTAGCCTCCACCGCTGTAATCGTCGGATTTCTTGCCATATCCACTGGAGTAGTCATCGGATTTTCTCCCGTAGCCTTCACCTTCGTTGTCGTAGTCGTCAGATTTCTTTCTGCCGCCATAACCACCACCTCCACTGCCGTAGTCGTCAGATTTGGCCTTGTATCCATCCTCATTGTCGTCGTAGTTGGAAGAATTCTTGCTCCTTCCTCCTCCATAGCCGCCGCTATAGTTGTCCTCCCCTGTGGCTACGCCCTCGGTGTTGGAATCGTCGTAGTTACTCCTCCTTCCCGTGTAAGACATTGTCGCGAAACGCTGCGAAATTACCACAAGAATGTATGTAAGTTCACGACTGTAGATCAGAGAAATCAAGCAAAAGAAATGCTTCAACTCACCAGAGAAACTTTCGAGAGAGCTTTAGAAGAACTCTGGAAGAACTTTACGAAGAAATAGATATGTTATCCGTGAGAAACTCGAGAGCGTCGCTTTATACTGATAGATTTGCCCGCGGATCGACGAGTAAACTCCTATAGCCGGTTCCCAGAGCGTCGGCGGTCCACAGAGAAACCGACACCTGCCAGTTCCCAGCAAGCATATCTCCACGAGATGTATGCGCATATACCACCATCTCTGTTGCACGACTTCGCCGATAAAAGCTTTGCAATGTCTCTCTCGAGCTCGTGAAGGCCACCAAACGGAGTGGTGATTTTTTTAAAGGGGCCCGGCGATGACCACATTCGTGCATGGTAAATCTCCACCGACGCATCCATCTCGCGATTTTTTTCGCGTAAAATATAGTTAGAATGGTCATGACTGCACGAACGATACCAGGGAATCAAATTTTCGCAATGAGACCGAGTTTATCATACCTGAGTTATATTGTCACTTTACTTGATCACTGGACAAAGATTCTCCCGCTCGCTAGTAACACCTGGACTAGAAAGAATGCTCGATCACTTTATATCCGATCCTGTAGAGCAGGCCTTTAAGAGCTTCAAGTTGAGCACTCGCCATCGACCGCAAACACTGCTCGGAAGAGCGACGAGTCGAGCTGATCGTAGGACCACTCGCCGTTGCACACCAGCGAGCTCGCCATCTTTCCAATCTCGTCAGAGGACTTTGCCGAGGCTCCACAGCCGAAAGCCGCGAGGAACACCTCGTCCGAGAGCTTGTCCATGTAAGGATAGTTGCGGGCCGCGTAGGAGACGACGCACGGCTTCGTCTTCACGCTCTTCACTCTCAGCCCCGGAACAAGCTCCCGCAGCAGCACCTCGAGCAGAGCATCCGTCTCGACTTTGCAGCCTGCGCCGTGAAACCACTCGAGAAACTCTTCCTCCGTGGAGACGATCTTGGGCTGCCAAGTAGTGCCTCCAATCTTGAGGTATGTTCTCCCGTCTGGATACTGGATCGGAGGACATCCATACACGGAATGAAGCACCGGGTTGGACTTGAGCCGCCATATGAAGCACGGCATTCCATCCAGCCTCTTCACTTCATCGCCATCGATCTCCGCTAGCACCACTGACACGGCTCTGATCTTCACCACGAGCTGCAAGCTTTTCGGCAGAAGAAAGTTTGTGTAGGCTCCAGTGCAAATCAAGACTCTGGCAGCTAGAAAACTCGTCCCTCGTCTGGTTGAGATCTTCACACCACCACCCTCTCCAAGTCGCTCGATGCTCGTCACGGTTTCCTGGACGAGCCGGATCCCATTTTCTCTGGCGATGGCGAGCTGAGCTCTCACCATCTCTCTCGGGTTCACGTAGCCAGCACCACCGTTCTCGACCACCGCAACATCCTCGTCTCCAAATCCAAAGTAAGGAAACCGAGAGCTTGCATCGTCCGCCACCTCTGCCTCGGCACCGTTTTGGAGCCCAACCTCAAGTGATCTTGCGAGGCTATCCCCGGCACCACCGTAAAATGGAGAGACTCTGAGAAACCCGACGCGTCCGTGAAAAGAAATGCCGCTCTTGGTCTCTACTTCTGGATAGTTGGAAATGGATTTGGCCGCGAGGTGAGACCAGACGGCATCAGGATCCACAACTCGAGTGATGCGTCCCTGGTCGTAGTGAGACGAGAAAACCGTGGGAAAACTACAATTGGAGCCAGTACCTGGAGTGCTCTCGGCCTCGCCAATACCGATTATGGTGCTCGGATCCGGCGAAGACATTGAGAGATGACGACACGCTGCCGACCCGATACAGCCCAAGCCCAAAACTGCGATAGAGTAGTGCTTGGCCGCCATATCCAGCGATCTTAGATTAGGGCACATTTAAAAATTTCATATG